ACGAGGACGATTTTGTACCAGATGATTTGAGATAGCAGGTTGTAGATATCGGCTATTGTGATCAGAAACCAGGTTTTCCACAGTGCGTTGACGATTTTCCATGTCCTGCAGTCTGACAATAGCACTATCTAAATCTAACATATCGATATCCTTTTCATGAACTAAGGCTTTCTTTAGTTCCAAGCTCATGTTGTAAAATATCAGGTTTCTGAGGGAGCGCGACTCGAAATCATAACCGGCAATGGAAGTATCTTTTCGTATGTCAGTTATCCAATGCGAAAAGGGTCTGTTTTTCTGAAAGTTTGCATGGAGTCTATTTGTCGCGTCCCTAACCCAATTTGGGTCGCCAAACAACGTATCTAAAACCTCGAACATTTGAGCAACCGAAGCAAATAAGACTGAACCATCTTTGATCCAGGAATTGAGATGTTCTCTGCAGTTAAATCTCATCTGGGAATAAATGTATGCCATTCTGGTGTGTTCCGTTGGAAAGTGGTCAGAATTGGTGTTCAGTTTGAGTGAAATTGATTCCCTCCAGACATAGTAGTCATCTTTCTTACCAGAGAACGGTTTGCAATCGGCGAGGAGCATAGTTTTCTGAGGTCGTGGCTGCAAGAGTTCAGCTAAACGAGTCAAGGTGTCATTAGAGGAGTCAGATCTCTGTTTAGCTGCTGTGACCCTAGCTGCTTTTTCCATTTCCTGGACTCGTAGCTGTGATGCAGCAAGCTCTTTAGTCGTAGTCTCTAGAGCAATATTGCGCTGCGTCAAAGTCTGAAATGCATCAAATATTAATTGATGCTCCTCCTTCAAATCTTCTGCTAGCTGAGATGGTTCCGAAACTTCCGATAAACGTGAGAGAAGTTCTTCGAGGGAGACTTTAGCAGTACCATTTTTCTCGGATGACATGACTCTTCGTGAAGATATAAATATTGTGAGCTTTTTGTAATGTCAGGCTTGTTGGCTAGTTCGGAGGTCAAGGGTCGGAACAGGACGGAGTCAGGATGGATGTAGTCGGGACAGGATGTGATCGGAACGGGACGTGATCTGAACGGGACGAGGGCGAGACAAGACGGAGGCGGAACGGGACAGAGTCGGGGTATAAGGTAAAGCTTATAATAATCGGATCAATCTAAAGTCTAGAATAATTACAAGACAAAAAGCTACAGAACAAATTCAGTCCTAGACCTTCCTTAAGTACTCAAGAGCGGCTACTACAATCAGGGGTATGGTAGTCTACAGCTATAACACAGCAACTGATTGCTTATGTTGATTAGTAACTGTTGCTATCATAACATTGTAACCATCGCAACGCATTGACTATGTTACTAGGGAAGTTCCTGACTTGGTTGACCAGACTAAGCGCAGCATCTCAGCATTAGCCCGTGGCACAATGTTAGTGACAAGCAGGCTGTTTTCCTCGTGGGAAAGCCGGTCTGTGACAGATTCTCAGTCTCTCGAGCACACGCAAGTTGCACTTGCCTTATAGTGATGCCAAGTTTGTCAGATATATGTTGTAATGTCAAGCCAAATCTTCTTAATGCTCTTATTTCAATACATTGATTGTAAGTTAGATGCTTGCAAACTTTAGTTTCTGAAGCAGACTTTTGGAGAGACATTGTTTGCTAGAAATGAGGATGAATTGATAGTGATGTTAAGTTTCGAGGACTGTGTAGGTCAGGCAGGCAAAAGTGTCGTTGAAAATGTGTTTTTCTAAGCAATTGTTAGAAGTAGACAATTGGACCATACTTTATGGCGAGCGGGGTAAGGAGGAGAGACATACTAACCTGTTACGAGCTAGCCCAGCTGCACCTACAGGGCTTATCCCTTAAACAACCCAGTTTGAAGTTTTACCTTTTCCAACCCAGAGGCACAGTACAAATAGTCTGTATGCACGTAGGAATAATACTAGAACACCCGAAAGGGGTGAAATCCTGGGCCAAGCAGAAACAAACTCAGAAGCCTCGGCAGTTAGCAACTGCAGATTTCGAAACTTGGAGAGCAGCCAAATTTTGCTAAAGAGAGTCTGGACAGCAAATCCTGAGTTTTCAAGGCTCACCATTCTTTCTACATCGTAGCCGGACAAGGGCTCAAAGCAGTTTGGCGATGCAAATACGAAGTGAGCACTTGGTGCTCAACTTGTATTTACACAGAAGAAAAGCATCCGAGGCATTAAGTCCAGGTTGTCCATGTGGCTACCAATCATAAAACCCCAAGCATATGATTATGTCCTGCCCCCCATGGTCAAAAAGTAGAGCTGAGATCTGGAGATAGGCCAAAGATCGGTCCTACGAAGCGATGATAAACAATCATGGAGATATAAAAAGGATAACACAGTGGATCCTAAACCATGATTGGATAGAGCAATTCCAGATGACAAAAGCGGTCGAAATACTGCTGAGGGAAAGGAAAAGGTCAAATAACGCTTAGTGCGGATAGAGATGATCTGGTTGGTTTACATGGATGGCACTATAGTGTAACTGCGCTTCCTGAAGAAAATATGTGAGAACTATAGACAACAAATAGAAAGGTGTGGGAGGTTTTCACCAAAAAGGTTTCCTCCCGGGTAAATATTATAGACTGTAGACACCTGCATGGGCCCATAGGGCGCCAAATCAGGACAATATAATCAAAATCAGAACACCCGAAAGGAATAATAGTATCAGGGGTCCCTCAGGTTGGAAGTACAAGGCCGTAAACAGCTGTTCTGTGTAAAGTTATATACAATATTTCTAGTATTGTTGATCTCCTTTGGTTAAATACTGTTCCGGAAGGAATGGAAACCCATCATATTTGAAGAACCACTCAGTGTTATCTCCCAACTTAAAACGGATTTTGTTCTTACATGATATAAAATTTTGACTTCTTAAGTTCTGCACCGCCTTGTTATCTTTTGTACTAGATTTAAGAGATGACTGGCTCAATTCTGGCAAGTCCCAAGTACTATCGAATGGCACGTTTGTGGGGGATTTAATTCATGTACACTAAGTCAAGCAAAGCATCTACAAACTTTCACCTTGTAGATTATATAAACCCAAGCAGTTGAAGTAATACTATTTAAAAAAATTGATTATTTATATCGAGTAATGCGTTTTTAAAGAACCGGCGTCAAATTTGTAAATTGCCTTTGAGTAAAATGGTGATAGAAAGCAAGGATATCTGGCTGAGAGAGACTAAAATGAAACCAAAGTGTATTGTATTCAGAGTAGGTTTGCAAGAATGGACTTGGAAAAGAGTGAAAAGACTATCTTTCTGCCCATGATGAAGGGCAGAGGGCTCCTCTAAGTGCATGATCAAACAAGGACTTGTGAATGGCAGTGCTATTTCAGGGGAGCTGTATGGGAGGCATAGGAGGGGATACAATACTGGCATAGGTATCCTTTGCCAGTAGGCAGAGGGATGCTTTATATCCTACATAGTCATAGACTGAGAATGAGCCATAAAGGAATGAACAATCAAACTAGCTATCCACCTGCCGGCAAAGACGAATTATTCACCTTCCAGTGGTGTCGGTGTAATCCCTCGGTATGCTCTGCGTAACTAGTATAGCCGAGAATAATCGCAACCGAAACGAAGTGGAAAGCAACCTCAAGCATATCTAAAATCGACGACTTCTCGTCAATGTCGGACCTTTCTTTCTCACGCGAGTCCTTTACCCCAATCTTACTACACCGTCTCGCCTTAACTACTGTCGAAGGTGATACTCTAATTCCAATCGGGAATTTGCCTAATCAAAAATCGGCCATCTCCCACTACAAAGTTACTATGCGATGTATGCCCACGAGGAGGAAACTAAGTCATAACCTACGAAGCTAGGGTCTTGGTAGATGGGGGACCGTTGATTTAATTTGACTTCATATCTCGAGGGAGGATAGGTAGCTGGTGCGTGGGATGAGCGAGTGAAGATATCCAAGTTGGCATGCTAGGGCTCACATTTTTTTGAGTGTTTTCGACTTAAGGGTGTCTGCGGGCGCAGAGGTAACGATTTCGGATAGTGCAGCCGACACTCTTAAAGATAAGATAAGAATTTTTTTTACAGTCCCTTCTGAGTCTGAGACTCTAAGGACGACACTCTCAAAAACAGGCAACGATGAAAGGTGTTTTGGTCCGCCTCCTGGTCGTCATCTCCTCAAATTGGAGCTTAAGCGGCCTGGACGCCTTCCGCACTTGAGAAATGGAGGAATATGATGCCATCTCTCGCGTGGTAGCTATTTACGAGATGACAAAGGCATGTTAGGGCGGCCAAAGGTTTTTCGTATTTTCTCTTTTGGGATATTCACAGTTGAGAGAAGGGTGAAAATCCCTTGCACAAATGTTTCGAGTGTTATCAGCGGATGCACCCACTATATGAGTGTTCCAAACGACAAACTGAGAAATCTTCGTGCAAAGTCTGCTGAAAAGGATTTGCCTTCTGTGTGTCATGTCCTATAAGTGCGAGGAGGGTTGGATGGTGCAGTGGTACACCATCCAGGCCGTCCTCCCAAGTAGATGCTGGGTAGCTTGAACACCTACCCCATTCGAGACAGGAGAAAGCTGGTTCGAATCCAGTAAAACTCACACACCACTCACTCTCGCGGTGATATTGTACTTGCGGGTTGATGATAGCACACTCGGATAGCTACAAGTTTTTCACGTTTTTCCCTATGGTGGGTATGCACGGAAGAGATTATACGCCGTAAGGGTTAACCTCGAGTTGTGTCTGCAAATGAAATCTAAGTGTGAGTGTTCTAATCGTCAAATTGAGTCATCCTACTTAAAGTACATATCTTCCGATAAAAACGTGCATGGGCCTCAAGGCGCCAAATCAGGAAAAGGAAAATTATATATTGATAAGTACGAGGCTTGTGCCTGTCACCCAACTTTCATTCCACGTGACCTTGAAGCCAGGGCTTGTCTAATCCTAGGAATAAAATTGTCGGAGGTTCAAGGCGCGTCACCATCTTAACTTTATTTAGCGTCCCATCACTCCGTACCATTTCGTATTACATTAGCAGAAATTTACTATGGTTGAGTTAGTCGAAGTCGAAGATGAGTCTTTCGAGACCAAGCAAGCCGGACCTTCTGACAATGAGGACGAACAATACACAGACACTGGTATGTACACAGGTCACTCATTTTCACCGTTAATGACATTTTTTAACCTAGATTCTGAGATATCGAGTGACGAAGACGAAGATATATCAGAAGATGAAACCCTCGCTGATCGATTATATGCCCTGCGAGATATTATACCTCCTACTGCCAGATCATTTATCTCCAATAAATTCGAAACAACTACAAATTGGATCAAGTCGGGTTTCATGCTAGGCGGCAAAACCATATGGGTTGTGAGTACGAGTGTATTACTGTTAGGTGTCCCATGGGCGCTAGCTTTCGCAGAAGAGCAACAAATGATGGAAATGGAAAAAGAGATGAAAATGAGAGAGATGGGAAATGAGGTAACTTAAATGACAACTCTGATTCGAAACAAGAATAATTCATACTGATAAATCTCAAGCTACTATCCGCAGGTTCCGTCATACCTACGGAAAAATCCCAGTTGGGTGGTTCAGAAGTAAAGCCAGCATTGTAATGTTCGCTGAAAGATTTCCAGCTCTCAAAATCTGAATGTAACACAATTTGGTTGGCCAATTTCTGCATTGCATATAAATCATTATAAACTGTATCCGAACCTTAAAAAGTTATAATAAAAGCCAGCGATAGGCTAAGAGTTTTATCGCAAAGATCTCAAGTCGCTCGATAACACATACTGAGAAATAAAACGGCTTGGTAAAGTAAGGAAAATTATTATCTAGAATTCTCCAGGCTCAATCAACTGAAACACTTTACCTTTAAGGAATGGAAATCTAAGGAATGACGCTATGATTCAAAGAACAATCTAAGAAATAAATGTGGATTTGTAATTATCATATTGAGATCAAGTTTTCCTAAAATGTATAGCCAATAAACATAAGCAAGTAAAACCTCATTCACTTCTCTAGGTGTCAAAGCTGAAAGTGTGACGAGATCTAAAATTTCAGATAAAACAGTTCTTATGATATCTGGATCGAAATTCTACTGTAAGAAGATCCCAGATTCTATTGCTATCAATAGCACATCTCACTCTAAAACTGGAAATCTTAATTGTCTATCGGTATTATCCCACAAGCTCATAGAAACTGAGCCAGTTATATCACATGATCTTCCTAAGCAGTTCAAAAATCTCATCCTTAGTTGCAGGGCTTAGAAATTATTAAATTTATAATATAATGCCGTAAATCACGTATCTCTCTCAAGCTTAGTTCCATCAAAATTTGTACTACTCAAAAATGAAGGTTTCATATAACCTATCTGCCAATTTAGAGATAGTTTTCAATGATAAAAACAATCAGGACCAACATTAGATATCAATGGGACGTATCAGTAGGTGGTTAGAGATCCCAATGGGGAACCGGACTGAGGTCTTCAGCATGAATCACTTGTTCTAATAACATCAAGATGATACCCGACTATGACCTCAAAATTCGATTAGTTCCGTGACAAGATAGTATGTTGATCCACCCTTAACACTCTAATGTTTTCAAGTAGAGTTGAGATAAATTTCAGAAATTCTTCATATGATTTTTTGTATAATTTAATGTCTTTTCAGCTATCTAGCTATGAATCATGATCAGTGCCATGTGATCATATCGGATGACTCTTTTGACATTGAACAATGATGCTTTAAACTCCATTCAGAAATACCGCTTTGAGGTACGTGTGCTTAAAAAGACAGTCAACCCTCCTCCGTGATTACTATCATAGGAATATTCAATAAAACTTTATGTTATCCAGGCACTGCGATAAAATTGCTATTGCTTCACTGGATATGAACCAGCTATCTTCTGTCTAAAGTGGGATGAGCGTCCAAGCCATCTAGAATTCACCTAAGAGACCGTCCGAGATAATTTAAAACGGCATCATCCAGCCGAGGCGGTATTTACGTTATCGCCTGCGCTCTCGCAATCGAAAGTTTGACATGCACAATGCCCTTCGATTTGTAAGATACCTCACCAGAATTCAAATTTTTTTAACTTTCGAGATCGTATCCAACGTTTGCATTATTTTGTCCTCTTGCCCTTTTCTCTTTCATGTTCATCCCGAAAACCTGTGTCACAGATGCTTCTCCCACGGTTAGTCTGAAGCGGTTACCCACATTCTTCTTGGCGTTTATGTAGAGGCCATCCGAGGCTAGGGAGAGAGAAAGAGCTGTGTTTATTGTACTACTTGAATCTTAGACTATATAATCGGGACCAGGGACTGATTTCATTGGGAGCATTTAATCATATCTTTGTGAGTTAACTTCTTCGGAATAGCGAGATTCATCATCATCAATCTCTTGCAGAATATTTCACCCCCAAATTCGTACCGAACGTCCCATAAGTGTGTTCACGTAGTTTTAGGGATCTGTATGATTTGATCTTCTTAGCGAAGCGCCTTGCTGGCACACAGCGTAGGGTCCTTATTGGCTCAAGGTGTGAACGGTTAAGCCAGACGGTTAGCGCACGCAAGCCATACCATAAATAATTAATATTCTACCATGGGGGAGATATCTACAACTGGATCGTGCGGACACAAAGTGTGCCCTGAAGATTACCTTATATAAGCGCTATTGAGAGAACTTGTTCTTGTTTTATTTTAATTTTTTTAATTTTTGAAGTCCTAAGCTATGCTCAATATCTCCCAGGAGTCAAGGACCGGTGCACACGGCCAAGATCATGCTTCCCACTTGCCCGACTCGGTCTCACCGCGTGACTCACTACACAACAAGTAGCTAGTTATATTAAAGAAAATAAATGGAGGGCAAGACTGAACACCTGTACGCGGTGTCCTCTACGAACCTGGGAGTGAAATATTCTCCCAGAGCCAAATTCAGTCAAATTTCGCAATACCGAACAAGTTGGCCCTAGGGGAAATGATTTAAACTACTCCACCACGTCAATTTTTCACTCCCAACGAGTTCGAATCCTATCGAAGCCTCATCAAGTTTGTAAGTACGACAAAGCACATCCCAATTTCAGTGACCACACCTCTCGTCGACTTTCTCTGGCCTCAGCTCCTCACCAAATACACGCCCACGCCGAAATTCATATCCGCAGCGGGAAGCAAAGAGTGGCGCACAAGTTTAGAAGACAATTCTTTGGGGTAGAATTGAGAGAAATTGAGACAAAGTTACAAGATTGATAGATTCTTAACAGGTACGAGCTTTGGATTTTGCTAAGAAGATTTACAAATTGAAGAGCATTTTGCGCTCCAAGTCTTCGATTGCTAGAGTGTATCTGACACTATAAACGCAAGCCAACTATGGAAGGTGCCGTGGTCTGCCTCCTGGTGGTGTTCTCTAGTATAGTTTAAGTAGAATGGGCACCTACTCCACTTGGGAAGGTATTATGATTGGTATATGATTTAGGAATGTACACTAGCGCTGGAACAGCTAAGATAGTATGTGGAGAGATGTCTTCATTAATGTAGAAGTGAAGTGACTGTGACAAATTGTTATATTACAGATTGGGAGAAGCTCGTCCCTTATCCCCTAGCTTGTTCGTTTGTAGACCGATTACGTTACCAGTATGCAGCTCACCAAAGTGTGCAACCAACTAAGCAGCCATGCCATTTGTCCTACATCAACAACCTATCTCTCGTAATGCACACATTACTACATGTAATGTCGTTATGTAGAGACTGGATCTCCTCCATGCGCCATAACGCCATGCTGCCATAATAACTACCTATGCACCAGCTACTAGATCTACCATCCTACATAGCTGAGCATAACAGAAAGAGACATTCCAGACCAGATTTTGCGCAGAGAAAAGTAAATGGATAGAGGTATGTCTGTATAGCTGAGGGGTTTTCAGAGGTTTCCCTGGATGGCCATTCACTGATGATGGTTTACTTGGGGTGAAGAAGAAGCTGCCATATTATCGCAGTGGTACTTGCGATTGAAACCTAAGATTCGACGTAGGGACCATATGAAGGGTGCACGTGCTACATTCCTCAAGCAGAAGACATGTAACCGTAGTGGGATAGCTTTACCCTAGTGCAAACTGGCCTAAAGAGGCATAATATTAAATCGGTAAATCGGACAGCTATTTTACTGTATATGGTGTACTTGTGAGCTCACACAAAGCCTCACACAAAGTGTATGTGCTCTATTTTTAAACTTAGTAATTTATTGTGTATTTAGGCCCGACAATGTGAAATTTCTGGGTCAGTTCTTCGAAGCAATGATAAATTGTCATTGCAATATTTAAAGAATTACACAGAGGATCTTAGATCATAATTGTATTGATGAATTCCACGTTACAAGGGCGGTCGATAGGCTGCAGGAGGAAAGAAATAAAGCCTGCAATCCTTGGTGTCCAATGAGAGTATGAGGGTGGTTTACATCACTGACAAAAAAGTCTGACAGCGCTTCCTGAAGTACAAGCAGGAAAAACCTAGGGCACGAACAGAAAGGCTAGGGGATTTCCACCAAAAAACTTTCATCTCATCAGAATGTGAAAGTTCGTAGATAGCTGCTTGGGCATATACAGCATCAAATCTGAATATGGAATTCAATATCAAATTTGTTTAAATTTCCCTTTGTTCGGTACGCACGTAGGAGTGTTAACTATTATATGTAATTAAGCATGCCTCATAGCGTTGTTCACAAATGGTAAGCAGAATATGAGATACTCTGAAGTGAAAAGGATTGCGTGATGTCTATGAAGAGCGCTGGTTTTTTCTTACAGAGAGGTAGCTCGAATTGTACCAAAGGCATTAAACATATACCTGCACTAACTGGCGCCTTCATTTCATAAAAAGTTTTATAAGTCACATGATCGGCTCTATTATCCACAGTCTTCAATGCCCAGATATACTAAACTTTATTTATTTGCAAGCAACAAGCATCAAGCAACAGACAAATAGATTCGAGTATTTGCTAAAAGCTCTCTGCTTGCTAGAATGTCTATGTTCACACGATCAATCAAGCCATATCTCAAAACTACATTTCTCAACTCAAGGCGAGATCTTTTGGTTAGCCCTGTATACACTCTCCTTCGAGGGCGCAATGGGCCAAATATATTTGGGTCTCGCACATACGCGGATAAATTCGAGCGGACGAAACCCCATGTAAACATAGGTGAACTATCTATCATCAACACAAAGATTCGCGCAAGAAACTAACTGCGTAAGGTACTATTGGTCATGTTGATCACGGAAAGGTACCAAGACAAGATATTTAGAAAGAACTTAGAATAGCTACTGACACAGCGATAGACCACACTGACTGCTGCCATTACTAAAAGACAGGCCGAAAAAGGCATGGCGAGTTTTCTTGAATACGGAGCGATTGATAAAGCCCCTGAAGAGCGAAAACGAGGAATTACAATTTCGACTGCGCACATTGAATATTCCACAGAGGCTAGACATTACTCACACGTCGATTGTCCTGGACATGCGGATTACATCAAGAACATGATTACTGGGGCAGCTAATATGGATGGTGCCGTTATTGTTGTCGCTGCCTCCGATGGTCAAATGCCACAAACTCGTGAGCATTTACTGCTGGCTCGTCAAGTAGGAGTGCAAAAAATAGTTGTCTTCGTCAATAAAGTTGATGCTCTAGAAGATCCTGAAATGTTGGAGCTTGTCGAAATGGAAATGCGGGAATTACTTTCAAGTTACGGCTTTGAAGGTGAAGAGACTCCCATAATCCTCGGCTCAGCTCTTTGTGCACTCGAAGGTCGCCAACCAGAAATTGGTACAGAAAAAATTGATGAACTTCTAGCTGCAGTAGACACATGGATTCCTACCCCCAAACGCGTGCTTGACAAGCCATTCCTCATGTCTGTGGAGGACGTTTTCTCCATTCCTGGTCGCGGTACCGTGGCCTCAGGGCGTGTTGAGCGTGGAAGACTCAAGCGCGAACAGGAAGTTGAACTTGTTGGAAAAAATGAAGTGGCTATTAAGACAAAAGTAACAGACATTGAGACTTTCAAAAAATCTTGCGACGAGTCCCGAGCAGGTGATAATTCTGGTCTATTACTCAGAGGTATCAAGCGTGAAGATGTCCGTCGTGGTATGGTAATTATACAGCCAGGTACTGCTAAGGCTCACAAAAAGTTCCTATGTTCCATGTACGTCTTAACTAAGGAAGAAGGTGGGAGACATACAGGCTTTCAAGAGAATTATCGGCCACAAATATTTCTCCGGACAGCAGACGAAGCAGCAGCAATTTACTGGCCAGAGGGAACAGAAAATGCGGCGAGCAAGATGGTTATGCCTGGCGACAACGTTGAAATGAGATGCGAATTACACAATCCAGTAGCTCTCGAAAATGGACAGCGCTTTAATATTCGAGAGGGTGGAAGAACTGTCGCTACTGGTCTCATCACTCGTATTTTGGAATAGTCTATGAAATTCAAGACAATGCCCGAAAAGACCACCAAAGGATCGTTAAGATTCTTACTCAAAAATTCAGACGGATAGAGATTGTAAGAAGAGAAAAAAATAATGGGCAAGGCTTTACCAATATTTGCCTCAATATTGTAACGTAGTTGCGTTTGGACTGGCATGGAAAAGGAGTTGAGCGTTTCCCTCCTCTGTGAATTATTATTTTCTCACCACCATCTTATTGGGAAGGAGCCACAATTGCTTGCATGCCTCATAATTCCACAATTTACTGTAAACTAAGGTTCTCCCAATATTAAGGGTTAAATATATATTTTACTATAATTTGCCATTTTTGAAACCGGATTTAGTGATCTGTTATTTTCGACAATCTAAGAAACTTGTTTCCTTCGATGATATAATCCCATTAATCTCAGCCTCTGTTGTGGGCACATAACATTATACTTTCATACTCATTTTGCTTTTAATTTTCTATTTCATATCATTAAATAATATTTTCGTCAGTAATAACATTGAAATGCACTGCATCGCTATGACTTTATTGTGACGCTCTGTGTGAGCTCACAAGTAGACCACATACAGTAAGATAGCTGTCCAATTTACCGATTTAATGCTATGACTTTTTAGGCCAATTTGCACTGGGGTAAAGCTATCCCACTACAGTTACATGTCTTCTGCGTGAGGAATATGGTTCGTGCGTCGCATTTAGCAGGTTTGCAAAATCATTTTTTTTTGCATGAGATTTTAATTGCGTATGCAGCTATCTAGCTGTGACACAATATCAAAGAAAAGTACAGAAAAGATGACTCAATTTACAAGAGGAGCACTCATGCCTCGGATTTCATTTGCAAGTACCACTGCGAAGTTATGGTGGCTTTTTCTTCACAACAAGTCAACCCTTATCCGTGAATACCCACCCAGGGGAATGTCTCAAAAACCCTGAGCTATCCAGACATGCCTTCATCATCCGTTCACTTTTCTCCGCGCGAAATGTGATCAGAGATGTCTCCTTCCAAAGTGGAGTAGGTGCCCAGCTTACTCAAACTGTACCGGAGAATACCACCAGGAGGCGGACCACAACACCTTCCATTGTCGGCTTGTTTTTAAAGTGTCAGCTGCACTCTCTCAAGCGAAGTTCTGGCGCGCACAAAGCCCAGTTTGTAAAACTCATTGCCAAACTTCGAAATTCCACGCCCGTCGAGACTGTATCCATCCTCTGCACCATTTTGTGAACTTGTCCTTATCCCTCTCACGTCCATCCCAAAGAACTATTTCCCAGATTTGTGCACCACGCTTTGCTTCCTCCTACGAGTATAAATATAGGCGTGGGCGTATACTTGGTAACCAGCTGAGGCCAGAGAAAGTCGACGAGAGATGTGATCATTGGAATGAGGACATACTAGGTCGTACTTGTAGACTTAATGAGGCCTAGGTAGGATTCGAACTCGTTGGGAGTGAAAAATTGACGTGGTGGAGTAGTTTAAATCATTGCCTCGTGGGCCAACTTCTTGTGGAGCCAAGTTCGTCGGATATATGTTGTAATTTCGAGCCAAGTCGTCTTAATTTTCTTATTTCAATACATTGATCGCGAGTTAGATGCTTTCGAACTTTAGTTTCTGAAGTATACTTTTCGAGGGAAATTGTTTGCTAGAATAGAGGAAGAATTGATAGTGGTGTTAAGTTTTAAGGGCTGTTTTGTTTTGTTCATTAACTTGCTAGGTAAAGTGACTACCGTTGCACTCCAACTGGAGCTTAAGCACGGGTGGAGCCAGGCTGGATCAGGTTAACTACCATTAAGTTCATCTATCTCGTCCCACCTAAATGACCGGACCGCCTCAGACTTCATCCATGTGTTGAATCATGTCAAGCCCAACCGTCCAGAGAACCCTCTTTTGGCACACCGAAGCGCGAACTCCTGCTCGACCCGGCCACCACGCGCCCGAGCCCTTAATACCTTCGCGATCTGTAACTTTTCCCTTCGATTCATTCCCAGGTTTGCCTCACCTCAGCATCTCCTCATCTCACCCAGGGGTCGTTTTCTTCAATGGAGGCCTCATCCGGTCGCCTACCAAGGCCTCCTCAGTTTATATTCCCTTTTGTTCCTTCATGTAGCATCCCTCTATCCTTCAGCCGATCTCGTCATCCCAGAAACTTTGTAGAATTGAGGTTTCTGGGCGCGCGTTGTGTACCTAGTAAATGGTGGGTGTGTGTGCGTAAGAATGAAATGTTATCACGTGGTGTCTCGTGGCTCCTAACTACAGTGGATCTTGTGTAGAGCTTGAGACTAATACGTGAATTCTGTATGTCCCTAAATGTAGGATATCTATGTGCCTATATACATCAATACTTTGTTACCCCTCAGCTGCAGTGAGATCTGCTCTTGTGACTGTGCGATCTGATCGTGTGAGACCATAAGACACTAGCATTTTGTCTATGTGTGTTATGATCTGAGACAACGAGGTAGTCGAGGCTAGGGCATCGCGTGTGGCTCAAGGCCACAGCATACATCACTAGTGTACTGGTTAGGCGAGCATGTATATAGTTTCATAGATGTACCCACAATAAATGGATACAGGTTTAGTCTTATACTTTCTGTCCATATACCTACAGCATAGTATTGTATGAGGCTACTCACTGTCAACCACAAATTATAACATCATCCACTCCTCATCACTCCGCAATGTGACTTCCGCATAGCTCATAACCACAACAGGTTATGAGCCCGGCTCTTCCCAGCGCAAACAAAACGTCAAACAGCCCGGAGTTTACATCATTATTGCTGTCCGTCGTGTCACATTCGTTCAAAGGTATCATGCTCGATGATGGCGCACCATCCGAAACCTGGAGATAATCTATCTTGGCCAAGCTCGCAAAACGACATAGAGTCGGCCATGTCTTCCATAACGAAAAAGGTTTCCGTCCCGAGGTTGAACGTGGACTACTTGTAGCAGAACCAAGCGAAAGCTCCGAGAGTTACACCATACAGATCACAGAGTACAATAAAAGATTACGGACCTAGGGCCCTGATGAAATCCAGGCCTACCGGACGATAATCAACCGACTCGATCCCAGTGTCATACCAACTCAACGGCGCAACTTGACGACTAAGCAATTGTTTGACAAAACAGCGGAAGCACAAGTTCCATTCACTACCCTTCCCCACTTACATGCCTATAAATCATTCTCCTTGACAAACCTGGTGAACACCGCTGACCAGTATTGCAGTCAATACAACAAAACCTGCAGTTTGTCAACATAACAGCGGTTATGATTATGACCCGACCAATCCCGATGTCAAAAAAACATCATGAATAACCTTTAAATTACACCGGGACAGGCAAGGGGTAATTCATCAGAGGGACAAAAGGAGTTGAATGGCTCGATAACTGGAGACAAACCAGAACCTCGTGCCACAAAAGAAGGCTACAACCCAAGGGATCTCTTATGTCTTCACCAAGAGAAACAGAGAGCAGTTTACAAAATTCAAGGCGTAATGTAGTCGCCTCAAACCCTCAAACACCGAACCCAGAAGCCATATGCAGGATGTAAAAGCATAAAAGTATAAATAAAGACTGCTTCAATCAACATCCGAAGCTTGCATCTGGGAATTAAAGGGAAGGACAAAGTAGACCCAAGGAAAAGTCATACAATGGGAAGGGAAAAGGAAAGCGGTACTCAATGGTCTAGACATAGACTCGGAGAGTGAGAGTAAGGAAAAGAGGAGATTTGACATGGTTGGCAGCCTTTGGTCAATGACATAATCAGCACTACATTTATGATACTGGTGCACAGCACCATTTCGTTTCTGTGAAAATAAAGAATACCTCAGCAGCCTGCAAATATGCCAAAGCCCACACAATTTCGATCAAGTGGTAGGTGTCACATCCTTTAAGAGGCAAGGCACTGCATGGTTGGCGGATTCCAGGCTAATTCTGCTTGTGTGTATTCTCTCGTTAACCCATTCTCAAATAGCATTTCCGAAAGGAGATCAATGAGTATTGCGAGCATCATTCCAGATTTAGAATAACAAGTATTATTTGTCACAGCACGGCATTCTGCTCCGCCATGATATACAATTACGTGGAGGGAGGATGTGAGACTGATGGCTGATGCAGGAAGGAGCACGGACGCGGCGATTTAGTGGAAACCCGCCCGAATAGGAATAGCCTCAGGGCTTTTTGTAATGAGATCTTGTTCTTTTCTATTCTTCTCCAGCTTAGTATTTGCTTCACAGATTGAATTATCGCCATACAAGCTGTACTTTCACTTGTGCCTATTCTACGCCGTGACATAATACTAAGCTCCCTAAACTACTCAACGCGATCTCTGTAGAGAGGTAAAATACTAATTTCAGACTCAGTAATCTGTGGACAGCGTTTCGCTCACGATTATCTGGACAGTCATTGGCTAATTGTCTCGCTAATAAAGGAAAGCAGAAGATGCCAGGAGAGTGGCCGAAGGAAGACTTCACAACCTCGGTGTACGCCACCCGCGCACCCGGGGAAGAGGAGGACCTCACTACGAAGATTGATGTTCCATGGTATCAGAAAGTCACTTTTGAATTGTTGGACAAGGATTACAACAAGAGAAACAAACGCCGCGCTGCTGAAGTCAAGAAGGAGACTGATCAAGAACGTCACGAACATACCCTTAAGACTATGTGTACCGCCCTGGCTGATCGCGCCAACAACATCAGCAACTACCTTCGAGATACATTGGAGCAGAAGGCAGAGGCAGAGAAAATGGCACAATCCTGGGCGGAGGAAGCTGAGCGCTGGAAGGCTGCATTCGCAGAGGTCACTCTAGATCTCAAGGCCAAGGATAAGGGTAAGCAGAAGGAGGAATCCAAGTCGGTGCGAGGATCTGCAGCCTATAACACTGTTGAGAAAGACGCTGCCGGCTGTGAGGCCTCAGAGATACCACCAAGATACAAAGAGGTCCGTGACCCACAGGCTAAGCAACTCCGCCACCGCCAGAAGATTGAGAACCCACCCACCTTC